TGCAGGAGTCATGCAGACGCAATCGGGAGTTGGTTTTCTTTACAAGTTTCTATTAAATATCCTCATACAAAAATTACTTTCAATACACTTTTTTTCTGAACTTCGCAGATTCTTTTTCATATTCAGGACAAATAAAAGGAAGATCGAAATTTTATACTATCATTTTGAAGTTATGTCTGACGGTGTTCGAATATGGGGCCACCCAGAGCAGAACATGTAAACAAATATGAAATGTAATAAAGTAAATAAATAAGTAAAGAAAAAAGTAAAAAAACAAAAAAATATTTTGTTTTTCTTATTGATATTTTATGTCCAAAAGTAGTTAGTTACAAGTTAGTTGACATGTAATGCCGAGGTATCCAGGTCTGACTTTTTTGCGGCCATCGCCCCACAAAAGTAGTTAGCTTTTTTCGAACAAAATACACAGTTAATAGTTAGCACTAGTGTTCGCGTAAACAGACTAAAGTTAGGTATAAGCTAACGTCACTCCCTGCAGGGAGTATATCAAGCAACATTGATGGGCCTTTAACAAGTACTGCTAAAAGTCGTATAAGCAACCTAGAAATAATTTTAGATTCCTCTAGCGAAAGCAAAGGCTCGGATGTAAAATCTGGAGACATTAAAAAATGTGAAATAAAAGCTCAATTGAAGGCATATCTTAAAACAAACGGGCTCATCGCCGTGAAAATCCTCTCGAATGGTGGAAAACTAAACAAAAATACGACAAATTGGCAGATCTGGGCCGCAAATATTTGAGCGCTCCACCGCCGTTCCAAGTGCGCAATTTTTTAATGCAGCCGGCCTTATATACGAGCCTCTAAGAAATCGCCTCATGGGAGAAAAGGCAGCAAAATTACTTTTTTTGAAATATAATATGCCCATTTTGAATTGGGCCATTGCATTGTGACTAGTGGGACACGTGATCAGTTGTCAATTTTAACTATGTCGTCGGAACTTATACAACAGCGAAAGATATTTTTTAACATAGAACGATAACTAATGAAAAAATTGCTTTAACAAAAATACCAAACGATTTCTTAGTTTTATTTAACTATGATTTGAATGAATGTGACTGGTGGGACCCTGAAAATAACTCTATTTTACCCTTGTGCACTCAAAGATGAGTTTTAGCCAAAACACTTAATTTTCACGTACGATGTATTTGTGTTGTAAAATATGAATCATACGCTTTCGTTTTCAATAAAAATGAGGTTTATATAATCTTCATAGAAATATTAAAAAATATTTAAAGTTGTGACTGGTGGGACATCTCCTTGTGACTAGTGTAAAGTAATTATTAGGGCAACCCAAAGTATGTTTGAGCATGTTTTTTGTCAGGCTTGTTAGCAACACGCTGATAAAAAGCTTAAACGTTTTACAAAAAAATATAAAGTTTGAGTTATATTTCATAGAGCATATTTTAGCATATTTTGCAATAAAAGCATATTTCAGCATATTTTGCAATAAATGCATATTTTCGGATACTTTGCGTTGCGTTGTTACGTCTAGAACTAATAATAAAAATTTCTAAAATAAAAATAATATGGTAACACTGTGTTGAAAATGAAATAAATATCAAAGTGACCATTCACAGCGTATTTATATAAAGTTTTTTCTGCGCGAGAAAGAGAATACTATATGTTTCGCTCTTGACAGATGAGTTGTCCCGCCACTGACCCGCATTATAATTTCTAGTGATGTGCTGAGTCAATACTTTTAAGTATTGATCGATATTCGGTACCGATTTAAAAAGTATCCAATACTCTCGATACTCGGTACCGAAACATTTAGGTTTCGAATAAAAGCGCACATAGGCCAAAAATATGGAAAAAACGGTTCAGCGGAGACTCGGATTATTGTTCCAGCTCAATCGGACGATATCATTTTTGTAGGCCTGGGGGCAGATTATGTAACCAGTTAGCGACAATTTTCGAATCGGTATCGGTTTTGTTGACGTATGATATTAAATATTTTTACGCCACCAAGTGCGATATCGATCCGAAACTTGTCGCTACCTGGTTACAGAATCTCCCCGCTGAAAGGCTTCTTCATCCGTCAAAGCATTTTCATTGAACCTTGGATCGACTAAGGTTAAAACTGATATACAGCCGGACTCCCATTTTCATTTACTTTTGCGTTTTGCGTTTTCGTAAAAATCGTACGTTTTTATTTCTGGGTGCTCTTGAATTCGCAACTTTTTGTTATCGATAAGTTCCATTCCTCACCTTGTTTCTGGTATAGCAAAACAGCTGTTTTAGCTATTTCAACAAGTTTAAAATAAACAAAAATGCCTTTCATTTTTTCACTAGCGTGTTTTGAAGCTTTTCGTTCCTTGATTTACTAAGGCAACCCCCAATTAGATACCGATTATTTGGCAAAGTAAATCGATTTACAGATATACAGAAAAATTTGAGGTGTGGTCCGTAAATATTTAATTAAAAAAAAAAATTTTATCTAATATTTATTTTTAAGTACGGGAAATGTATCTTAATAATTTCTTTTAATAAATAAAAATTGTCCAAGCTTTTATAAATTGGTTATTTAAGCGTGCGACGTCATTTGCTTTTTATTCCACTAAGTTTAAAGTTTCCGATTTGAAACCGCGAAAATTTTGCGATATACGATTGAGAGAGCGCGCAATTATCAAGTGTTTTAGCCGATATCATATAAATTAGTAATAATAGTTTTTTCGAAACTTGAAATGCATATAATGGCGAAGGTTTAATGTAAAGAATCGGTATCGGGTACCGAAAAGGAAGTATTGGGTACCGAAATCTTTGTTAAGTATTGGGTACCGAAATCTCTGTTAAGTATTGGGTACCGACAATTCAGCACATCACTAATAATTTCGTTTGGCAAGCTATTAACAAAGCCCTAAGGATTTCATCAAACGCAAGTAAGTATTTTTAGTTATGGAAGTCTTTATTATTCATAGGTTGATGTAGAGCGGAGCTTTTCAATGTATAAAGCTTTGTTTCGTGAAAATAGACAAAGCTTTAGCTTCGAAAATCTTGCAAAACATCTTGTTATTTATTGTAACAACAACTTAAATTAAATTTAAACTTTTACAAAGTATTACATTTTTATAGCAATGAACTGTTATTTATTTTTAATTTCTTTGGAAAAACTGTTTTTGATACGTGATATTTTTACGATAAAATTTTTGGTTGTACTGAAAGTATTGTAGACAGATATGTATACAAAAGTATCTGAAAACATACACAGTACGAATTCCTATGTGAAACAATTTGTGAATTAGATTCCATGTACTTTCATACATATGTTTTAAAAACAAATTGAATAAATATGAATTATTAAAGATAAATATTTTGTATATGCACTTTTATGAAATTTAGAACATTTTAGATGGTGCAAATAAAGTTAAAGGCATTTTTGGGATACACATACGTATATAAAAAAAAATTTAAAAGCATATCTTATGGCTTATAATGATTTTAAAAACATTTTTTGGAGCATATATTTAGAAGTTATTGGCATATTTTAACCGCTTAAAATAAGTTTTTAGGAGCATATTTTGGGTTGCCCTAGTAATTATGCATGAAATAAAAGTTTCCATAGACAAAAATTACAACTTCTTTTGATTTTTTTAATATTTTCCTAAAGGATAATGAAATGTAGTCATTTAAAAAGAGGTTACTAGTGAAATAGAGATAATTAGGGCATATTTAAATTTATGTCGTTTTCCTCTTTTCAATGGAATGACCCAACTTTGACTACAAGATTAAAACACTGTATAGGTTCTGCACTCGTTCAATGTTCTAATAATTTACAAAATTTTTAAGTAATAAAAACATTCTCATTCGCATTCGCATTCCGAAAATTAGCATTCGCGAATGTGAAAAATATGACATTCGAAACATCCCTAATACATACACAAAAATCGTACTAGACTGTCTTGCTTTGATTTCGGAACGCTTACACATTGGGAAGTTAGCTTACTGCCAATATGGAAGTATTACATATATGGGCGCATGTAATAGACTTGAATTGATATGAAAAGTAATATATGTGTGTACATAAATATGTATGTGGGTCTATGAACAACTATCGCTTAAAATCGATATCAAATTTTGTACAACGCTTTTATAAACTTGCAATGTTGAGTGTCCAGACAGCTATAAAAGCTTTGCTTTGCAAAGTTCCTATAAAGTCTAGTATGTGGATATATGAATAACGACCGCTTAAAATCGACCTCAAATTTGTACTGTAGAAATTTTAGGTCTATGTTATGTAGTTTGACTATTGTCAATTAAATCGAATGCTTTGTGTTGCATGCGCCCCACGCTTTTCATTTTCAATGTCATAAATTGTTTATAATGACTTTTGCTAAAATTTCAAAATCAGAAGTTATCAACACAAATTCTATAGGACTGACAATTATTATTTTCTACTTTTTAGTCCATTTATAAAAGCGTTGTATATTAAAAAGTATTTTTTTATATCATTTATTTTCCATTTATTTAAAAAAGTATGATATTTAAATAAAAAATATTGAAAAATGCTTGTTTATTGATATGTGTCCAGTTTTAACAATCATTTTTCCCTCATTGTAAGAAACTTATTTTGTGGAAAGCATTTAATATGTCTTCTTTTTGGTTGTTTGTGTTTCCGACAGGGTAGGAGTATGATGTATTGTGGAACGATTTTCCGTCATCCCTTGTCAAATTTGGTTTGGAGACAAACCGGTTTCGGCGTTGTGCCATCTTCAGTGTCATTTTTCGTTCTCGAAAGGGATGACGCAAAATCGTTCCACAATACATCATTTAATATGTTTTTTCGCTCTCCTGAAAAATTTGTAATTTTGAAAGAGGTTGTTTTATCAAATGTCCACAGATATGTAATTGCTTTGTACATACAGTGTTTGCAATAAACTTAGTTTTTCTAAAAAGGCTGGATAAAGGAACATAGCTATATTGCGTACATAATTATGCCATAAAGTGTATCAAAATTATAATTTTAAAATGCTTAACCTATTTCAGGCGTTTACGTGCAGGGAGATCGTCCATTGGATTGCAAACAAATCTGGAACCCACAAAGTTATTAAGAGATGCTAATTTAGGCGTCCAAACCGATTTATCACTTCATAAGGATATAGGAATTCTAACAGATGGATCCTATGCCAAGAAGACAGTAAACGGCCATGAACGTAAATAAACATTACATAAATATATACGTACATACATATGTAAATATATAAATTAGACTGACGGGAAAATATTCAAATTATTTATTTTTCTGAGGCACATGACTTTTTCTCCTATTATGGCTAAAAACCCCTCGTGAACGTTCTTCAAGAAATTGAAGTTTTGTAAGGTCTTCTTACAATGTGTTTTCGAGGCCGCTTAATACGCTGGGTAAGTTATTTTTTCGTTCTGACCTTTATATTTTGAGATATTACCGAAAAATCTTTTAAATAACAGTAAAAAATCCAAAAAATTGCCCTTTAAAAGTTGAGTATTTCTTAGTAATTTTTTTCTGATTTCTTCTTACTGATTATACACGGTGTCCTAGGCCACCCGTCCAGCCCTCCTAAAACGGAAGGAAATGTTTTTTATTGGAAAGCGCAAGAAAATTGTTTAGAAAATCTGGATGATGTCTATGACACCCTGTATACCTACAGCCACAATTTTAGCAAACCAAATTAGTCATCGCAGAGAATTTTGCGTTCATTACTTTCGAGATATCGATAAATACTCAAACTGTATTTGGATGCGTGACTTACTCCTGTATTTCGAGAGTGTTCTTTCGAGATGTTTCTTTTCTATTTTGTTTTTCGACTCAACCCTACGTCCCTACGTCTCTTAACGTTCTCCCATGACTTAAATTCAGGAAAGAATAAAAGTTTTTTCACATTTTCGAGATCGCTAAACGTTAGAAAAATATGTAATAAGTCACGATAACTTTCGATGGAAAAATTTACTCGATTAATTGAGAAGTCGGCCGCTGTGGCGTAGTGGTAAGCAGTGCGCGCTTCCACTCCGCAGCACCTGGGTTCAAGCCCTGGTCAAAGCAACATCGAAAAAATATATAGAAAAAAGGTTTTTTCTTAACAGCGGTCGTCCTCCGGCAGGCAATGGCAAACCTCCGAGTGTATTTCTGCCATGAAAAACAGCTTCTCATAAAAATACAATCGCCGTTCGGAGTCGGCGTAAAACTGTATGTCCCTCCGATTTGTGTGACAACATCAAGGCGTACGCCACAAATCGGAGGAGAAGCTCGGCCAAACACTAACATAAGTGTAAGCGCCAGACTATTATTATTATTATTAATTGAGAAGACAATTCTACGAGTTGAACATAATTAAGTAATGAGCTGATTGCACTCTAAAAAAAGGAATGCAAGTTTACTGCCAAAAAACTTGTATTTTACTATGTCACAGTTTTCAGTAAATTGTATACATTTGTGTGTTGAATTGGGTATGTGTTTGAATTTTGCTCAAATTTTAGTTTAAAATTGCACATTTATGTAAAAATTTCAACATATATGCACGCTTGCAATTAGATATGTGTAATGTAAAACTGCACGGAGTTCATTCTTGCTTGGGCAATTTCGCGAGTATTAAGCTATCTATTGTCTGTTTGAACTCACTAATCTCCGGAACTACTGAATGGATTTTCATGGGGTTTTAACTGGTGTATAGAGAATGACCTCGGACGTAACCTAGGGTATAAAAAATCTGATGCGATAAGGGGGCGTGACAGCTCCCATAGGCGTGACATTTTTAATCAGCTATAACTTCGAAACCGTAAGTCGCATGACTATGAAATTTGGTGTGTTCACATCAGAGTTCGGAAGTGAATCGCTCAGCTTATGAATATGCTCACATGCTCATGAATCACCCCATTATTCACTCAAACTAAAAAATGTTGCTCTCTCACAATTGCTTGGCTTGCTTGTAAACTAGTCAGCATGAATATCTTTCATAACCGCTGATCGCTTCCACTTGGCTTGGCTTGCTTCTCTTTATGCAATTGTTTGATAGATTCACTGTATACCGCGAGATGAGTTAAGTGGCTCATAGTTTATTCATGAACACATACACAAATTGAGCGCCTCTGCAGTTTTGCTTTGCGCGCATGACTGTTTGCGACGTTGAATACATACAGGCATGTGAAAAATGATAGGAGGATAACATTTTGACCAGCTTTGGCTATTTTTTATTTATTTCTTTAGTGTTTATTAACTTCTAAAAAATATAGCTCATTATCTTACATAAACCATATCTGTCGAAATTTCAAACTTTGTAGAAAAATTAAGAAAATTTTATAAAATTGTACAACAAACTTTTTAATAAGAATTTTGAGATAATCCTAGTTTGCAGTTGTATACTCAATTAAATTATAGCTAAGAAAGTAAAAGTCTAATTTGGCTAAGAATTGGCTTTGTTTTTTGATAACTTTTTTTGGGGGGATGGTGTTATTATTATGGGTGAACCCGTCAGCAACAAAAAAAATATAAAAAATCAACGCGAATTCTTTAGCAATTGAAATTTGCAGTTCCTTAATATGGAATTTAATAGGCTATAAATCTGCATACTTAGAAATTCCCAATAAAAAGTTTGTTGTTGTTTTAAAAATTTTCCTGCTTTTCTACAAAGTTTGAAGTTTGGACTTATGTGGTTTTTGTTAGATATTGAGCTATATTCTTATAAAAAAAAATAAAAATTTAACCAACAAAAAAATGTCGTGTCTTAATTGTTTTTACATGACTATATCGAGCTCAACCGTATAGATACCTCCGGCTAAGACTATTAGATTAAGGCAAAATTTGGCTGATTCGTTTAAAATAAAGTCTTTGTGAAAAAGTATTTTGTTGTACTTTTCGGTAGAATATATCCTTCTGCAAACATTTTTTTCGCATTTTTTCAACTGTTTTTAATAGTAGTTTTTATGTTAGAACATTTTTATTTTTTCAAAGAAATAAAAGTGTTTTTTTTATATAATTGAACTGTGATTTTGTTTCAATTAATTATACTTGTTAGCCATGACAAAAGACTGAAACCTAGTTTTATAAAATATAATAATCTATTACATGACTATATTCCTGGAATAAAGTGTGATTTATTTTAACAGTGACCTTTTACACAAGTTTTTTTTTTTAATTTTTCCCAAAAATGTAAATATTTTTATTTCTAGAGATTCCCAATATATTTTTAAGTTAAGTTTTTAATTACATTAAAAAAAAATGTACTAACTTTGAGTTTTATTATTTTTCGTCTATATTTGTGTGCCATTAAAAATTGTTTGTTTTTTATAATAGAGGAAACTAGTAATAAACCCCGAAATTCGGCGTGCTCAGTGGTCTAAAAAATCTGCATATTTCTTTAGTCTAAAAACCACATGCATTGGTATTTAACTTTAACTTTGGTATTTTGGCAAGATCATGCTCTACTCACTACGTATACATAGCTGGCCATGCGTAAAACACTCCCCTTGTTAGGGTGTGACATTACATATTTATTGTTATTGCGAACGCTGCAATAATTTTGAATTGGCGGCGTTTAAATACATAGGGGAAATGGTTGGGTCGCTGGGCTGTAAATTTATATGGGGTAGTAAAATTCATTTCCCTTGTGAATAACATGTCCATTAACTATCCCTTTATATGTACATATATCTATGTATTGCGGCATCCAAACAATTATATTGTAGTTCTTTAACTATTAGGCGAGACCATTAACTAACCCTTCATATGTATATATTTAGGTTGCGGGCTAAAATCACAGCTGCTCCGACTTTTAGTATCATGTCATGAGGTGCAACTCTCCTACTCCTACATTCTCCTGTGGATATTCAGAAACGACAGTAGATATCGACGCCATAGTAAACATTTACTTTTACGTACAACATATTAACCATATCTTTATTAACTATTGTACAGTGCTTATTTTTTGAACCCGAAATTAATCGATCCTTCAAGTGGTTTTGATTAATTACTTAGAATCGGTAGTTAGTTACAAATTTTGAGTACAAAAATCGTATCTTAATTTTTGAGTCCGGCGAGAGTTCTCTAACCCGCAAAGAGAAAACTGAAATAATCAGATTCTCTGAAACGCATATACATGGAGAGTTTAAAATACTTTATCGTTCTCTCAGTTCGTCTGCCAGGACTTCTTTTTTAAGTTTTCCAGCTTTTTAAAAATATACAAAATTGAAAATAAATTTACACTGTATAATGACAAAAGCAACATTTTTGTTTTGCAGATCTATCGCTGTATCGCTACCTAATTCGCACGAACGTAGCAATGCATCATGATTCAATAATTAAAGGTTTGCTCATTATTGACATTAGAGTTTTGACACTCCCTTAGCTCCCTTACAAAAGCTTTGCACACACACACGAACCCACACACAATGCTTTGCCGATTTTGTCAAGAGGGAGCGAGAAAACTGCTTTTTGAGCAAACCTTTTATTATTGAATCATGGCAATGCATTGCTCGATATGAAACAAAACCAGGGACGAAAGCGAATAAATGGAACTATTTTTCATTCTCTTATGTCCCGCTGAGACGCTGCCTATCGAAATGAACGTAACAATGCTTTGCTCAATGTAAAAATTGTAAAATCCTTCGACGCAAATATTTAGAAAGTGGTTCAATGAATCTTAAATTTGAAAAGTTTGTGCAAAGTTTCAGATCGAGCACTTTAATTTGATGCATAATAGTAGATCGCTGGGAATAAGCGCCTTGTTTTAGAATAATATTTATGTATGTAGATAAATAAAAATGAGCGAAAAAAATCTTTACATGTGGTCATTGTTGTTTAGCCACAAAATCCTTGTTATAAAATATAATAGAAGTTTTTTTACTCTGTACTTACAATATTGCAGTCAATAAAAATCACGACAAATATTTTTCATTATTTCTGCTGCTTGAAAAAGTACCTACTTGACCGTTACTGTAAATTTTCTTACTAAACGAGCATATATTTCTTGAGAGGTAATTTAAGAAATTTTGATAGAAGAAAATTTCTTTTTAATTTCTTGAACGTCATTTTATTTGAATTTTTCGTTTTTGTTAATGGCCTTATTCTTCAAAAATAAAGTAGGTTTAAAGCATGGTAGAAAAAAGCAGGTAGTTTCAATTAATGAGATTAGCAGCCATGTTAGCCATTTGACTTTTGCTGGGATTTTGCCATTTTCATCAAAATATAGC